TTGCTTAGTGTTGTGGAATTCTGAAACACACTTGGAAAACTAGACAGAAGCTGCCACACAGCACTCTGCTTCTGTAATTGTGAGAAGAATGACAGTGCTTCGACCATTTCTTGAAACACTATCTTCTGATTGTTGGGATCACTTGACATCTTAAAACATAAAACCACAAAGAGTTTCAAATGAAGATTTCAGCATTTGTAATCATATAGTTTGTCTTTGAAAATATCAAAAGTCTAGATTCTGCACCTAAGCAATTCCTCCAGATCTTTACTTAATTTGAACTAATCTTTTATTTGGAAATGTCATAACCATTTAGAATGTTCTTCACCATTAACTGAAAAAAAATCAGCTGCATGTACAGTACTACATTGTCAGTAATGGCAAGCATTGATCTATGGTTGGATAGATGGTTGGACAGGCTGAATGATCAGATATGTTTAGGCAGGAGGGAGTGTGCCCATGACCGTGTATAGGGTTGGAAGATAATGTTTCTCCTTGTGTTTTTGTATGTGTTGTAAGAATGTCTGGGTGTATAGTAGAGCTGTAGAGTATAGGGGCAAGGTTGTGGTGGCTTCTTGGCTACAACCAGCTACCCTTTTAAACTGCATGGTTTAAAATCAGGAAGGGAGTGACTCTGGGTTATATCCTTTCACCATATTTATTCAATCTATATGCTGAGCAAATAATCCGAGAAGCTAGACTATATGAAGAAGAACATGACATCAGGATCTCAGGAAGACTCATTAACAACCTGCAAAATGCACACAACACAATTTTGCTTGTTGAAAGTGAGGATGATTTGAAACACTTACTAATGAAGATTGATGACTTCAATCTGCAGTATGGATTACACTTCAATATAAAGAAAACAAAAATCCTCACAACTGGACCAATAAGCAGCATCACACTAAATGGAGAAAAGATTGAAGTTGTCAAAGACTTCCTATTACTTGATTCTACAATCGATACCAATGGAAGCAGCCGTTAAGATATCAGACAACATATTGCACTTTGAGAATTCTACCAAACATTCAGAGAAGAACTGATAGCAATCCTACTCAAACTATTCCAGAACATAGAAAAGGATGGAATCTTCCCAAATTCATTTTTTGAAGCCAGTATAACTTTGATACCAAAACCAGAAAAAAACATAACTAATAAGGGAAAACTACCGATCAATATCCCTCATGAGTATAGATGCAAAAATCTTCAACAAAATCCTAGCCAATAGGCTCCAACAATGTATCAAAAAATAATACATTATGACCAAGCATGGTTCAACATTAGAAAAAAAAAATCAATATCATCCACCACATAAATAAAACAAAGGAAAAGAACCACATGATCATATCAGTCGATGCAAAAAGGCATTTGATAAAATCCAACACCCATTCCTGATCAAAACTCTCAGCAAAATAGGAATAGAAGGGACATTCCTCAACATAATAAAGGGCATCTATGCAAAATCAATAGCCAACATTATTCTCAATGGAGAGAGACTGAAACCATTCCCCTTGTGAACAGGAACCAGACAAGGATGCCCTCCATCACCACTTCTATTCAACATTGTACTGGAAGTCCTAGCCAGGGCAATAAAGCAAGAAAGGGAAATCAAAGGCATCCAAATTGGTAAGGAAGAAGTCAAACTATCCCTATTTGCTGATGATATGATCTTATACCTAGAAAGCCCAAGAGACTGGGTAAAAAAAAAAAAAAAACAACCTACTGAGACTAATTGAGAGATTTAGCAGAGTGACAGGATACAAGATCAACATCCAAAAATCAGCTGGATTCCTCTACAACAGAAAAGAAATTGCTGAAAAAGAAATGAAGAAATCAATACCATATACAATAGCTACCAAAAAAATAAAATACTTGGGAATAAATCTTACCAGGAACACAAAAGACCTGTATAAAGAAAACTACAAAACACTACTTCAAGAAACTATAAAAGATCTATATAAATGGATACCATGCTCATGGATAGGAAGATTGAGCATTGTGAAAATGTCAATTCTACTCAAAGCAATATACACATTCAATGCCATCTCAATCCAGATCCCGTCAACATTCTTTAAGGACATGGAAAAACCAATCACTAACTTTATATGAAAAGGAAAGAGATCTTGGATAAGAAAAAGCAATATTGAAGAAGAACAACAAAGTAGGAGGTCTCACATTGCCAAATCTCAAAACCTACTATACAGCCACAGTAGTCAAAACTGCCTGGTATTGGTACAATGACAGACACATACACTAATGGAATAGAATTGAGAACCCAGAAATAGATCCATCAATCTATGGTCAGCTGATCTTTGACAAAGGGCTGAAATCCATTAAATGGGGAAGAGAATGTTTGTTTAATAAATGGTGCTGGCAGAACTGGTTATCCATTTGCAGGAAAAGAAAACAAGATCTGTACCTCACACCATACATAAAAACTAACTCGAGATGGATCAAAGACTTAAATGTGAAACCTAAAACTATAAAGTTTCTCAAGGAAAAACTAGGGGTAAATTGGTTTAGTTTGTTTTGGTAATATATGGCATAAATAGTCCATCAAGCAAGCATAACCCAAAATGCACAAACAGCAAAAGATAAACTAGATGAATGGAACCTTCTAAAAATTAAAAATTTTATGTTCTTCTGAAAATTTCTTCAAAATAGTCAAAAGAGAACCTACAGATTGGGAAAAAAATATTTGGCAATGACATATCTGACAAGGGACTTATCTCTAAAATTTATAGAAAACTCCAACATCTCAACAACAAAAAGACAAACAATCCAATTTTTTAAAAAAGACCTCTTTCAAGAACTGAAGAGAAAAGATGTCTCCTTGGAGACTTAGGTATACCTAACCCAAGCCATAGTATTTTCAGTAGCCTCATACGCATGTGAGAGCTGGACAATGAATAAGGAAGACCAAAGAAGAGTTGATACTTTTGAGTTGTGGTATTGGTGAAGAATACTGAGAGTACCATGGACTGCAAAAAGAACTAACAAATCTGCCTTGGAAGAAGTGCAGATGGAATGCTTTCTGGAAGGGAGAATGACCAGACTTCATCTCACCTACTTTGGTCATGTTGTCAGAAGGGACCATTCTCTGGAGAAGGATATCATGCTTGGTGAAGTGGAGGGTCAATGAAAAAGGGGAAAACCCTCAACAAGATCAATTGACACAGTGGCTGCAATGATGGGTTCAGGTATGGCAACGGTCATGGAGCTGTCACAGGACCAGGTGGTATTTTGTTCTGTTGTACATAGGATTGCTGTGAGTCGGAGATGACTCGATGGCACCTAACAACAACAACAACAACAATTGTTTATAAAAGGTGCTCTGGTGGTGCAGTGGTTAAGGCATTTGGCTGCTAATGAAAATGTTGGAGGTTCAAACCTACCAGCTGCTTTGTGGAGATAGATGAAGCAGTTTGCTTTTGTAAAGATGTTCAGCCTTGGAAACTCTATGGGACAGTTCTACTCTGTGCTATAATGTCACTATGAGTCAAAATCAACATGATAGCAGTAGGTATTGTTTATGAGAACTTTGATCATATTATCAAAACACCGACACTCACCTGAGAGATCTGGTTTCTTAGTTCTTGGAGAGAAGACTCTAAAAGGGACATGTTGGAGAGGCAAAACTTGTTAAAAACGTTTTTTCCTAGAGTGTTCCAAGAGAACGCATAATCAGCAATATATGTTGGAAAGCTCTCACAGAGTTCTCTTCGTATATCTTCTGAAGTTGAATTTTGTTTTAATAGCTAAAAATGTATGACAAAAATAAGATAATAATTTTAGTATATATAGGTACTGAAGTATTCTAATCTTCAATGAAACATCGAAAATACATTGAGTTTACTCATGAAAAGTTTCTAAGAGAAAGTACTAATATATTAAATTCTTGTCATTGTTACAAATTAAATGATTCATATAAGAATCATTTATGGTCTCTGAGCAGAAAACCTAAATCCAGCAGATATTTTCTGACAAAAAAAATCAGGCATAGAAATCCTATTTATTTCTTCTGGACATTTAGCAGCACACACTTAGGCATCCTAATTCTTTGAGAAGTTTCATGGGAGATTGGCCATGATCTTATGGAAGACTTCCAAAAGTACAGGAATTGGAGGATCTGTGCTCAGGACCAACAGGGTTTGTTTAGAAAAATAGCCAAACATGGACTACTTTTCATTTGCAAAATTTAAGTCTTATGCATAGAAAGCAACAAGGAAAAAAAATATGTACATAAATATGCAAAAGGAAGTATGATTACCAAGAGCAATAATTGGAAAGCATTTTCATTATGGAATCATGATAATTCCCCCATATTTCACAATGTAGGCCAGTCGTAGATATAACATTATTTTCAGCTATAATATTTATCATGTTCACCATTATTAAGTTGGTTAGGTATTTACTGACCCAATTTAGTTGTAATATTTTTGAGTTCCCTCTTAATAATTAGGGAGCTCTGGTGGTGTAGTGCCTAAGGGATTTGACTGCTAACAAAAGGGCTGGTGGTTCAAACCCACCAGCCACTCCTCGGAAGGAAGACTGGGCAATCTACTTTTGTAGTGATACCACTTAGGAAACCCAAGGAGGAGTTGCTATGATTTGGATCCCATTCGATGGCAGTGAGTTTGGTTTTTGATTTTTCTTAATAATTAATATATATAACTCTGTGAGGTGAAGACCAACTTTGTCCACCCCCTCAATTTACAACACATAATCAACACTCTGCTTTCCAGAAACTTGACTTCTAAATGTAACGGAACAAGGCAAAATCCACTTATTCTAGAATATACTGTAAGTGTGAGGTCTTCTAGTCACTTATCTTTATCTCTTTCTGAACGTTATACACAAACTCATCTTAAAAAGATTTTTCTACTCATTCTTGCAAGGGTTGCAGAAAGCAATAAAGAGAAAGAAAGAGAAACCAGAGAGATTGCTGACACAGACATCAATATGTCATCCTAATTTTTATATTCGTTCCCTGCTCCAACAACTCTAAAAATATGTCTCTATATATAGAACATTCATTTTTGACTTATCATCACTGGTTATATGGCAATGTGCTGCATCACGGAATTCTGAAATTTTCTTTCATATGAGTAAGAGAACTTGAGAGTTTTAATAAAATGAAGTATTTTTTAGAATAGCATTGGTATTCTAGATATTAAATAATTTACCTGATCCAGCGTAAGACTGTCTGCTTCTAAGAAGCAATATAGGAGAATCAGAGTGGGATTGGATAACTTTCCCTAGACTAACCTCATTTGGGGAGGCTTAAAGTAGAATTAACTGGGAATATTGGATTTCTTATTCCAGACAGGGTGCCTTAGGGACTATCAATATTATGTAAACTAGGCTTTCAACATCTAGATTAGACTGAATGGGAAAAACTTGTATTTTGGCCAATACTGGCAGAATTGCCTTCATAAGTGTGGTACCTTTCTCTGGCATCCATTTATGTATTATCCTTTTTGGCTTATTTACATAAACCAGATTACTGAGATGCCTCATTTATGTAGAATGCTAGTTCAAGGGTAACTAGTGGAGACATACTAGTCAGCAGACCAGTAGTGGTGATGGTCACTGGAATATGATTAAAGATGAGAGACATTTCCCTAGGTTCTGATGAAAGAAATGTCTAGTACGTAAGACATGGCTATATTATTTTAAAATACTTGTGTTTGTATACGTAGATAGATGGACAGAGAGAGAAGGTATAGTTTCTCTATTTCAAAGTGTAGAGGGGTTAGGCAAGTAACTTAAATGTATGAATGTGGCTGGATGCAAAGCAATGAAGAGAAATGAGGATTGTGGTTCACAAGAGAGGGAGGGACTGTTTTGCCTTAAGGTGTTCTAATTCAATTTCTTAGAATTCCTGTATGCACACACACATACATAAACATAAATTTAGCTCATAGGCTGTCAGTTTACACCTCTGATAGAAATTTATTATCTTGCAACCCAAGGAATTGTAATATGGATAATCACCATAAACAGAAGGAAATCTACAGGTAAAATGTCTAAAATATGCTAAAGAAAGGACTCTTTTTACTCTGGGGAGATATTTTCCATAAGCTTTAGCATAGATGAGGCAGCAAGGTAGTAGCTTCAGAAAATTAAAAGATCACACATAATGCCACCCTATATCTTACTAAATGGAAGTCTAGAGTTTGGTTAAGGAACTTAACAGAAAAATAAATAAATACCTGAGAACTTAAGGAATTCAGAACATCTCAGAATTAAGATTTTTATTAAAGTGCTCCTATGAAAAATAATCTTCATGAGCTATGACTCCAGATTGTCAAGCTGCTCCAAACTTCTTCCAATGGAGAGGGGTATAGGAATCTCTCTATTAATCTGTAAGGTCTTTGTTCAGCTGCCCTTTATTATATATTCATTACAATACTGTGTGAAGTTACCTTTTCCAAACCAAGGAGCCGTGTAAGGACCTGACTGCCATTAAAAGTATCTGTTCCAGTATTTTCCAAATCAGGACTTGGAATGGGAGACACTGTAACTGTAGTAAGAGAAAGAACACATTAGCATCCCAAACACACACAGAAAGGGGAGGATCACGTAAGTGTCCGTAAATATTACATTGTCCCTCATATACACCTCAGCAAGAATTTGCTTGAATATTCATCTTCTATGAAAGTGTTGTACCAGAAAAAATGGAAAATTCCATATTTTTTTTCTTTTCACATAAGATTGTGACTGTTTTTGTCTGCTCTTGGTTTCTTTCCAGTTCTTTAGATGTCACTTGCTTCCATTTCAGTCTGTGTCATTAAACTACATCTACAATATTATTACCCAATAAACTGAATCATTTCTGTACAGGTCCGCAGGATGGGAGGTCCCTCCACTAGCTCCACAGATCCATCATATACAGCATCTGTTCGAAGGATCTGCCAATGCACATCTGGTGATAATGGTTTTCTTTTTAATTATTCAATCGGGAGCCTGAAATCTGCTTAGGATCATAAATTCTCTCCTCCCTGAAGTAATTTCTGAATATTTTAGATCAAATACCTGAGACAAAGCAATCAGTCCAGATTACAGTAGACTCTAATTAAGGAATTCCCAAAGTGGTCTCATCTAGTACTATTTATAATGTGGCAGAATTTTCTGGATTTGGTGCATTTGCTAAAGACTGTGCTTATAGATGTGAATGGATGTTCACTAAGTCAGCATGTTAACTTTTGTAAATTTCAGCCAGATGTACTTTATTATCCTCACAGCAAAGAATCTTAATATTCAAAGATACCAGTGACCCATCATAAAGTCCCATCATAAACCCAGGCTTGGTTTGAGCACCCATGAAACGTTTCCTCTTCCCACCTGATTCCTTTTAGATCTAGGAGTACATTTGTAACATGACTGGCCAGCATGAGAAACATAATCTGTGGCTATGGAGCCAAGTAAACTTACTGAACCACAACATCATGACCTTATTTCTACTGTGCCTTTAACTTACTCAGCCAAATAACCACGGATCATTCACAGCAGAGCATTAACTCCTCAAAACCATTCACTAACATATTCCACTACATTAACACAGAACATTTTGCATTTGTCCATAAGCCTGTACTGGAATGTTATTTAATATCACAGAATCTTAAATATTTCCTGGCAGTTTTAAATATATTACTTTCCCCCGATCACCAGCCACATGTTAACATATAACATGGAGCATGTTAGCTCCATGAGAAAGAGAATCCTTGCTTTGCTCACTATATATATTTAGCACCTACAACAGTGCCTAGATGCTAGCAGACATCCAGTAAATATTTGTTGAGTGAATGCAAAACAGTCTTGCTGCTTCAATATTTTATCTGCCTTAATTTGTAGCTTATAATCAGTATTTCTCAAGACCACCTGGATCAAAAACATAGGCATAAAACTCAAGAGCATGCTTTTTTTTCCCTTAATTTTTGTTGTGATTTGCATGCAAGTTTACAGACCAAATTCATTTTCTATTCAGCAATTCATACACATTTTGTTTCATGACATTGACTGTAATTCCCCACAATGTAACAGCTCTCTTCCCACTTCCTACCTGTAGCTACCTCTTCCCTGCATCCTACTTTCCTATGCATTCCTGCCCCTGGAGTTACCGGCCTGTGCAAATACTGCCCTTCTGTTCTCCTATAATTGATCATTTTAAGGAATGTATCTGCTTGATGTAAATATTCACCCTACATGCCTGTCTACTGTTTGGCTAGAAGCCACAGGAGTGAGTTCAATTCCAGACCTGAAGGGTAACTAGGGGCCATAGTCTTGGGGGTCACACCAGGCTCTATCAGACCACTAAACCTGGTTTCTTATGATTTTGAGTTTAGTTCCACATTGTTCTCCCACTCTGTCCAGGATCTTTCCTGTGCTGATCCCTTTCCGAGTAGAAACCTGCATTTTTAAGGAGCTCCTTGGAGAGTTTTCTACACATTGAAGTTTGAAGTGCCCACCTTAGATGTAAAGCAAGTACCAAATGACTGAGACTAAGCATTGATTGAGAAGAAGAGCGTAGCAGAAACAGAGCTGGCCTAGCAGTCATTTTAGTCCCAGTTCTGCTCCCAATTCACTGTACGAACATAGACACTGTACTTAACATTGTTAGGCCTCACATTCTTCCTCTGTAAAATGGAAAGTTTGGGTGATTTCTGAGATTTATTTCAATAATTTTTGTCATGTGCTTTCTAGCCATAACATCACCATCTAACTGCAGACAACACTGGTGGAATCTCCCTTCGTGGGAAATCTGGGTTCATTTCCAGCCAATGTCCTACAAGCACAGCCACCACCCATCTGTCATTGAAGGCTTGCGTGTTGCTCTGATGTTGAACAAGTTTCAGTGGAGCTTCCAAACTAAGATAAACTAGGAAGAGAGGCCACTTCCAAAAATGAGCCAATGAAAACCTTATGGATAACAAGGATTCAATCCCACTGTATGTGGGATCACCATGAGACTGACTTGACAATAGCTGACAACAATAGCAACAACAAAGAGTCCATAGTCAGTTGTGGGAAAGAGGGCAATCCTCTCCATCATATTAATACCATGTAGCTTTTTTACTCCTATGGAGGATTTCAATAAAAACTTAATTTCTAATTATTCTTGAGAACTTTGCATAATTGAGCTGCTACATTCAGGCAACCATAGGAACATTTAGGTCTCTTAGGGATATTCTAGGCATCTTGGTTTGGAAATTTAAAGTTTAATAAACCTTTTAAAGATTAGACCTTCACTGCCTATTCCAAAGGCTGTTCTAAACTCTATAGAAGAGAATAACTTACCTGCTGAAGCGTGCCTGCTTTCTAGAACTTTAGTTCTCTGGAGTGATAAATTGCTGTCCTTCAGGTTGGATGACTTTCTCAGAAGTTCACTAGAGAAGGAAAAGCAAGAACTCTATAACTTCACCCACATTAATTTCAGTTAGTAACAGCAATGTGTTCTATGGCAGATTCCAGGGCTCTCCTAGGACTTGCAAATTTTTAATCTACTTTCTAGGGTTTTAATGGAATAACTCACCTAACTATACACCAATGAATATATAAAGATTCCTACAAGGCAAAGTTTTATTCAGAGAAAACAGTCTAGCATGAGGTTTAAAACAGTTATTTTTACTTTAATCTTGTCAAAAGGAAATCATTTTTAAAGGACTTTCAAGCTGATCATTTCTTTTAAAAAAATGATTTCCAATAGATGAAAGTCAAAGGTGCTTTGGATACAGAAACAAAAGTCTGCTTATTTGTCAATGTGTAAAAAACAAACAAGTTTTCTTTGTTAAATTATAAACAGAGTATTGAAGACGGTAGAAGACGAGTGCTTGTAAAATAGATTCAAGGAAAAAGATAAAGAGCAAACATTAATTATCTATTCTGTGCCAAGCCTGGTGCTTGAGGTCATCACAGGTGATACCAGGTGTTAAAGGAAGAGCCATACAGGGAAATTTTCGATTCTACCCAATGTTTCACTGCAGTAATCATAGCATTATGGTGCCAGGAGTCCCTGTGCAATCTGATCACCCCAGCTTTTTTTGGAAGCAAATGTGATCAGACCTTTCCACAATTCATTAACACTCTCTCTCTCTTTACTTTTAATTTCCAATTTACTTCTCATTTAGATGACTATTGTTAAAATGGATATATTTTCTTGAAAATTGGACAGGCCTACAAGAAAGTACCTAAAATAAAATGTATATGTTTCACAATAGAAATCAGTCCAAATGCTTAGATATGAATGTTTTTCAGAGTTCCTAAAAGTGGATGAATCTTGTTTAGTTATTGATAAGAGCTAATTAAGGATGGCAGTGGGTTTTGTTTTGTTTTTTTTGAAGATGGAAATAGAAAGGAACCTTGGAAGAACAAGAAGATCTGCTTACTACTGTGATTAAATTTGACTGCTTCTTTAGGAAAAAAAAAAACAAAAAACCTTTTTTCTTAACCACTGGTGATACAGTGGTTTAAGAATTCAGCTATTAAGCAAAAGATCGGTGGTTCAACCCTACCAGCCACTCTCCAGGAGAAAGGTGAGCACTCTGCTTCTTTAAGATTTATAGCTTTAGAAATCCTATGGGGCAGTTCTACTCTGTCCTACAGGGTGGCTATCAGTCAGAGTTGACTCAAAACCAGTGGATTTGGATTGGTTTTTAAAAAACAAAACTATCTAAATCTTGGTTGCAGGGTACTCTGTGATTTATAATTGAAAAAAAAGAAAAAAGATTTTTTTTTTTTTGCATGTCCTTTTATAAAAATGATAAGGAGAGATTATATTTGTTTTCATTCCCTAGTGTTTTTCCAATAGTCTCCATAAAATGTACTGGTTGTTCCAAAAGTTCTGCATTCTTAATGTGTATTTGAATTATTCATGACCATGACTATATTCCCCTAAATCTTTTTACATTCCATATACTGACTATTTGGATGAGAAAACTGTTCGAATAAAAATAAGAGCTGACCTGAACCTTTTCGCTTCTCTCAAACAGAAATTTTAGAAAGTTTGGGAAAGTCAGATTTACTTTTCTTTTCCTCAAAACTTTTTTGTTCAGCTTGAAATACTATGTGGAAGTCTACTGAATATCAATATATGTTGAAAATAAAGGGAAAAACTACCTTCATAAAAATTTTAAGGATTAGGGACAGACAAAAACCAGAGAGAAAATGACAGAGATCAAAATGAGCAAGGAAGATGTAAGAGGAAACAGAAACTGAATAGTAAGTGGGAGTTGGGAAGAAAAAAGGACAATGAGGAAGCAGTCAACAACAAGGGATGGAGAAAAAAAAAAAAGAAGAAGGGATGGAGAAGCAAGCGCTGTCTCTGTTCCACAGAGGACAGCTTGTCTATTTTTCCAAGCCACGCTTGCAAACGTTCTTTTGACACCAGGCAAAGACAGGCTCATTGACTTCCTGGGAAGTTTAGCAGCTTAGCAGGTGGCTGGCTCAGCTCACTAGTGAATCTACTGCTTGCAGACAAGGAACTACAGAGGGCTACTATCTGACAGGTCCTTTTCGTGATCCGTAGTCACAGGGTGCTTGTTACAGGAGTGGGGGTCCATCTCCTTTCACGTGGCCTCAGCATACGTTTCTGAGGGGTGATAAGCTCTTAGAGTACTATGTGCCTTGCTGCTCCCCTATCTACAGATTTTCCCCAATCTTATCATTTTATTTTGCACTTCATATGTGAT